GTGATGTAATATACAACACTTCCGCATTCTGACAGCGGAGAGGGGACCGGAGGGAGCTCGTGTAATGCGTGGAAACGCTGATGCCTAGGTGTGAATGGAGACTAAAGGCTAACCCTGATCCTGTTTTCTTGATGGTAGAACTCCAGGTAAAATGTTTATTGACCCTTGCACTTTGGCCACCCCCTCACTACAAGGGTTATGTGCTCGTTTGTGTCTAGGTTCAAAAATAACAAAGATATACTCACCCGATCCTCTGAGCCGGCCAGCTGCGACAGTGAAGTGGAAGGGACCTTTCTGAAAGCAAGCCAGCTCGCAGGATCGGGCGAGTATAACATTATTTTTGAACCTAGATACAAGCAAGCACTTACAGTTCTCTGTTAGAAGATTTTGTATGTCTCTTCTGCCACAAAGAGACTCCTTTCATTTGTTGTAGCAATATGTAGACTGCCTGTGGTGCATGTGCAGTGCCGTCTACACCCTTAGCATCTGTAAATTCCCTGAGTATTCAGCCAAGTGCAGGGATAACGTAATTCCAGAGCGCATGGACACAAGTTATATCTTCAGCAGCCGGAGAAAGAAGTCACTGATCCAGAAGAAGCTGCAAAGGCTGCAGCAGTGGTGAGCACACTTGTTTGCTGGAGAAGGGCAAACTAAGACGTTTTCTATGTATGTTGATATAAACCTTCGTAATGTGAACAGTAACCAAAGAAAGATAATGCTCGGACAGTAAAGTGCATGACCCAACCCGTAATCAATTCACAAAACAAACGAGCCTTACTGTTCATGATCACATTTTTATTCTAATTGGAAATACAAAACTACGGACCAGTGGTAGTGCTTTAAGTTTCAAAAAGCCATTGGACAAGATGTTAAAGACAAATGAACATTTAACATGCTACAAAAAGACAAAACGTGTCATTCTCCTAGCCTAGCCCATCTCATCCTCACTCAGTGACACTTTACACGTCTCCTGAACGATGACGTGTGTAGTTATGAGATACAGTCTTCCCGCTCAGAGGCTCCAGATATAGAATCGGCAATAAACTCTATAGATGAACAGTTTTGTCTTTTTTATTTTATTTTACTTACATTCATTTTTGTCATGGGTTCTGGCTCTTTATCAATACACAACACTGGTCTTACTCAGTTTATATAACAGTCTCTAATAAGTTGTTTAAAAATGTAACAGTACAAAAAAAAACAAGCATTGATGGTAAAATAACAAGCGTGCATAAAAATACAGAAGTCCAGTTTACAAGGTATTAAGTAGAAGAAAACATAAGTGAAGAAACCTTCCGTCAGACTATGCCCAACCTTGACATTGTTGGGTGGACTATCCAGTGCATGTGTTGTAGCCATGACTAACCCGGGATTGGGTTTACTTAAGGTTCGGTATTAAAAAAATGTGAAATGCAATAGAAAATATATATATATCTATATTTACATATATATAGATCTATATATTTACATGTATATATATATATATATATTTACATAGATATATATATATTTACATATATAGATATATACATTTACTATATATAGATATATATTTTTTAGATCACAATAAAGTCACACTCTTGTGTCCGAGGTCACTGCTTGTTGCTATGGCTATTAAGGATATATCACAAATTGTTGTGACTTGATTGTAATTACAACCAGTAAATAAACTCAAATCCAACCAAGTCAAGGGTTCCATCTGACATTGCTGCTCTTCTGCCACCTCTCTGGCAGGTCAGGCAATCAAAAGGAAGCAGATTGACTTGAAGAGCTATAAATATTTCGCCTGCACTAGAAAAGGAATTCAGAATCTGAAACAAGGAAAGTCCTCTTATTGAAGAGTAAAAACACAGAGTCTCTTGCAATCGTGTGTATATGGCACAAACCCAACTTCTTCAACACGCTCATTTATCAAAAAGGCACATATAGCTATGTTCAAACAACTGTTGGGCTTTCAGTCTTAGCCAAAAAAGTGCAAGTGTAGGATATAACATGGAAAATGGACAGAAAAATGATCACAATACTATGTCCTATTTCCTGTACTAGGTGGGTCTACTTTGAAGATACTTGGAACCTGCATCTAAGGCCCATGTCAGATTGTGATTCCCTCAGTAGCAATAGAATATAATCAGCATTTCAAACAACGACTTCTTATGTGGAATGGAAGTTGAATTTCTGATGCTGGTGATTGAATCACCCACCTGACACGGCCCTAACAGGAGAACATTACCAAAAAGAAGGCATTCCCAGCACCCCTCTAGAGGACATAAAGAGAACATACTATCAGAACTTGAACTGGACTTAAAAAAGTGCCTGAAGCTGTGCAGTTTATTAGTAATTAGCTGAGATTAGCGGAGTTCCTGGGTCTACACACAGCGTAACAAATCCGTTCAGTCCCAGCTAAATTTCATGTACCTATTGCAACTGCTACAAACAAACCTCGGTACATTAGATCCGATCCTCTGCCTAGTGACAAAATTCAAATTTCCATTCCCTGTGGCCTTATGAGGCTATAAATACAAAAGTTTTATTATATGAATGAGAACGTAAAAACACAACATTGCAATCTAACAAATATTCGGACTTCTCCCCTATGGCTTATATAGGAAACATGGAAATCTGCCATTTGTGGAACTGCAGAGCGATATGGAAACAGGATTAACAAGTAAAAGGTTTAAATATTGCTATGTTGTTATCATTTCAAGTAACAAATATACAATTTACATTAAGAAAGACAATTTAGGAGTGCACTTTATTTCGAAACAGGTTCAACTTTTCACCATTTCATGGCGTCTCTGTACACGCAGGAATAGAAGATTCCTGTCCACACAATATAGATTTGTGATTTTCAGTCGCTTTGTTACTGTGAAGACACAACAGGTTTCAATGTGTTTGATATCGTCATTGCCAGCTACAGAAGAGCGTCATACATCCCTTTTTGCAATGAGGTCACAGAAAATGGCTTTGAGATTTAGCTACTAAAAAGCAAAATGGGTTTGTGAGGATACTACTGAAACATGAAGTTCTTACTGCAGTTCTTGATTAACATTTACCTACAGATATGCTTGCCCTAAATGTGATTTCCAAAGCTAGGGGTGGGGGGTGTATACAGGGATTGTCCATTTCTTATAGATGACATATGTTATATCTCATGCAATCGTATGGTTATGTTAGTACTTGAGATGTGGTAAGAAACAAAAGAGCCACATGCAGCAATCCCCTAACTGTCCACATGGTGGAAGTATTGCCTACTGTAACATAAGGATTCTGCATGTGAGGAATGTTCTGTCTGCATTGGCTGGAGAAGCTGCATTCATGTGCCTTGGTTTCCTCTCCACTTCAATTTGGCAAACTAAAGCTGAGTTCGGATTATTTGACAATCAATCATTGAAACATCTTTCAACAAACTGGCTGCACAAGATCGATATACACTACGGCATGTATTAACTTGATGCAGAAGGTGCAGCCACTAATAGCAAACAGATTACGCCTTATTGTTATCAGATTAATGGTTAATTATGGATTGCTTGTTATCAGCTTCTGCAATCTATCCATTGTTTTCTACTTCAAGAAAAAAAGGGGTGTTAATTAAATGTACGGTGGCTTATACAGCTTATACAGTTAAAAAGGATAGCACGTTTCCCAAAAAAGAAGGACTTTGAATAATGGACAACTCCAGAATAGGTACCTCTGTTTCCTAGTGCTGTAGACATATCACCTAAATAGTGCTACAAAGTGTTATTATTCCCATAAGTGGAGTGAGCTGAGTCCACTATCGGCCATTTCTATCTCTTAGAATCTGCACTCGTGAAATGTGCATACCGCAATTCCACAGGCCCTGCTCCCAACAACTTTCGAGTTTTGGGTCTTCTTGGCCACCTTTAAGTGCTTCCACACCTCCTGTTGCTTACTGCATAAAATGAATTAAAAATGCAAACAGGAAATAAGAGATCTCTCATGAAGGCAGTACCATGGACTTGGGAATGTACGTGCACAGACACACCTCTCACCAATAGATTCTCTATGAGATATAAGAAGCCATTAGGCGATTCATCTCCCTCAGCACCTACAAAACACATCAAACATCCTAAACATAAAGAAAGCCTAGGTGGAAAAAAAATTAAATATTTCAAAATGTTGGGAGTTTTTGTTTTAAAATTCTGCAAAGGGAATGTACTTTTTATTGAAACATTCCAGTTTTGGGTGGGTGCATCACCCATATGATAACAGCACTAATAACATGTGTGCCATTCTGTTCCAATGAACTAGCGACTGGCAATGAGATCTCCGATTTCCCAGCTTTCATCATTGTAGTCTCCATTTTTAAACTTATTTTACATTGCTTATAATGCAAGTAGAGTCAAAAGCCCAATCGTAGCTTGTTAATGTCAAATAGAGGTAGCAGAGCTGGGAACTCCAACCAGGAGAGATGACCATTCAGTTACCTAGCCTCCACCTAAAACAGAAGGACCTAGCCTGAAGCTTCTCCAAGATGCTTTTGAATTGAGTTGAGTTAGTGATACCAGAAAAATGTTACTGTTACTTATACAGCGAATGTAGGGAAGCTTCCAGTAACTAAACACTACCTGGTGCCATCCTGACATATACAAAGCCTGTTTGTCACATAAAAAGTTGTAGTACACAAAAGAGAAAGCCACATATGGGAAAACTAAGCTGGTTCATACCAGAAATCATTAAAGCCTTCATATATCTCACAAGCAGATTACATTTTGTGGGAAAAACAAGGTGCTAAAAATCAAGGACATATTCATTTGAGAACGTAGTGCCTCATATCCTGTAATATGCTCATTTTACAACTAGTAGAAATGCTTTGGTCCTACAATAGGCAGTCAGTAAGAGGAAAGGGCTTATAAAAGTCTGGACAGCAGATGAGCATTATATGGTTAGAATGGGGACAAAGCAACTTAAATCATCACCTATATTACTGTTTAGTTTTCTTGGATAAACTCGAGTACACTGAAAGATATTCTGTAAAAAAAAAAAGAACTATTTTGGAATTTCTTCTTATGGTGCCAACTTTCCTCTACAGCCATGACTACAATTGAAGAGATAATGATAGGGAGTATATTTGGTCAAAGTGTGGTATCTACTCTACATAATGAACTGACTAGACCTTTATTTTACATAGTTTAAAGTTAATTACAACCTATTTTCAGGTTACCAATAACATTTCAATCTTTACAATGTGAAAAAAAAAGACGGTCACTTACATACATATAAAAAGTATATATACATCTTAGATCTGTAACTACAGCATTACTTTCTCAGTATGATGTGTAAAGCACAACATATTGCAACATTTAATACATAGCAACAGCTAGGAAGATGGTGCTGGCACTTTCACGCTTGAGCTACTGGCAGCTTGGACAGAGTGTGGTAATGATGCAGTCAATGTCTTCAGAGGCTAGGACCACAGATTTGACAGCAGAACAATATTTCTTCCAAAGTCCAAATCATTTGACCTCCACGACAGGATGAAAAGCACTACAGTGGCTTGTAGACCTCATCACAAGGCTAAGCGTGGTCCCGATCCAACAGTGACAGTTCCAGATACCACATATTGCCCTGTGAGACATTCTTTTTTTGTTTTTACTTGAATAGATAGTTAATGGCAATCTGCAGCAAAATCAGGAAGAAGATAATACAGTAGTCTCTCTGCTGAAGAAAATTGCTATCTGTGTTTGAGGCATTTGTAGTTAAGCGGTTACGCAGAGCGATGATGTTCCTATTAAGGGAAGAAAGAGAAAGTTTAAATCATAACATAGAGCACTTCACAATCCTTCACAATGTATACAATAGACTTGACATTTCAAAGAGGGCAGTTAATGCAGCAAGCATGCCAACATAAACGGGTACAAATGATGGATGGAAATACGTGAACATTTAGCCAAATGAAACAAACTGAAAGATCACACTCCTGAAAAATACTGCATTAAAGCAACCACTGTTCATGAGTGACGTGTGGCCCTTAGAAGTGCTTTATGTGGCCCCCAAGCTCCTTCTATGCTGATGCTGAATACATCTATGTATGAACTATTGTGCAGAATATAAAGACCACCACAGAAAAAAAGATAGGTAGGATTAGACTATAGGAAAAACAACTTCATTAAAGAACAACTCCGGGTAAAAAATGTATTAACCCTTGCAGCGCAAGGCTCCACCCACACTGCAAGGGTTAAGTGCTCATTTATGTAAAAAATAACAGTTATACTCACCCAATCGTCCAAGCCGGCTGGGTGTTACAGCGGTACCTCCTGCCTGTCTCTTCCTGCACTGCAGCGATAGTATGTCCCTTGGCGTACTCACATCCTATACACTGTACACGAGGAGATTACTTGGGGACCTTAGACCGCTTCAATGGAGGCGGAGAGAGACTCCATGGACCAGTCTTAGAGCAAGCCGGCTCCGTGGATCGGGTGAGTAACGTTTTTATTTTTTGACCCTAGGCAAAAATGAGCCCTTAATCCTTGCATTGCGGTAGTAGCCTCACTGCAAGGGTTAATAACATTTTTACCCAGAGTTCTGCTTCAAAATGTCTAACATTATTGGCCAGTGTTTTACAGGCCTGTGCATATGTATATATAATGTGGTTCTTTGCCACCTTGAGGGCACTTTCACACCTATTCAATGCCGTGTCATCAATGATCAATAGCAGCCCAGCACACCGGGGGAACACATCTGTGTTACAGAGCATGACAATGCACTGTGCATGTTGGGGTGATGTGTTAAAAAACATGATTTATTGACTGCTGTACATCTTTGACAGCCCATTCAAATGCGGCAAAACTCACATTAACGCACCCCAGCGGATTGGAAGGTGTAAATGGGCCCTAAATATTTCAATATACAGTTCAAAAGCTGAAGCCCTTACGAATTAAAACGAAGAACACATTTAGATGAATTGTACATTCTGGCAAACTCCAAGATAAGCAACTGGTTACAAAACAATAAAAAAAGTTAAAGGCAACAGTTTTAAGAAGGCAATTTACCGGTTGATTTCCTCTTGAGTTTTCTTTATAGATTCTATGGCACTTTGAAGTTCAACGTGATCTGCTCCCTTTTTCCTGCTTCGAGCGCTGTGTGTTAATAGATGTGCTGGAAAATAATTGGGAATTACACACATTACTACACCAAATGTCAACATTTCAGCAAACACATAGTAATAATGGTTATTTATGTTTAAAGACTAGTGTACGTGGACATCACAGAACAGTAGAAAGAAATGGAATAGAGCAGTCGTTTCTGGGGTTCATGGAACCATACAGCTGGTGTATAGACATCAAGAAGGCAAATCTACTCTATACGAGTCCTAATTGTGGTTGTCCACAGGAATTAAACAATACCTAATACATGAAGGATAATGACACACAGGTGCCGTGCTCTTAGCATAGCATTCCAGTCATCAAAGTACTAGTGTATAAAGAACACCATTGTTACCAGCTCTATATAATTGCAGTGCCCGGTAACTATTCCTTTTTATGCCCAAAAGGCATACCTTTTTACGCTGTTGTTTATCCATGTCTAATCTACACCCTCAGAGTCACCCAGTACTGGACTGCATTCATTAAGTATAAAAATGTACATACATTAAATCAAAAAAATAGATCACTGGAAGGTAAAGGTAACCTTATGATTTCAGTTTAGACATAGGCTGGAGTAAGAGGCCACCAACCAGGAAGGAAGGTTGGGCACATAACCTATTACTCCCTGTTTCAGCCAGAATTCACAAATGGTATTGTGGTGCACAGAACATGCACTAGCATAGCAGCCATACAGTAAGGGAAAACAGATTTTCGGCATTCCTATTAATGCCTGATCACTCATGCCGGGAGTCTGTTTAAACAGCCCCGATGCTGGCGACGTACACTGTACGTCGTCAGTCACGAAGGGGTTAAAGTGGACCTATACGCCCTTTCACTAAAAATCACATCAACATGCGCATAAGAAATCCTCTTACATGCAATTTTTAAACATATTTTGCTTTTACTTACAATTACAGTATTTCCACTTCCTGATGTAGGCCATGCCTAAGAGATGCATCCTGGGAAGGTTATATCACTGTGCACTGCTGGGAAATCTCATCTATGAACTGCAAAACCTTGCGAGATGGCAGGGAAAGGCATTTCCCCCCCCCTGAGATGATGTTCATGGTCACATGTCCTAGTCACATGTGCCAGAGTTCCAGGAAGTGCACCATGAAAGCGACTGCTGTATACACTAACAGGCACATAACCACCAAGGGCAGTTGACATTAAAATGAGTCTGATGTGTACAAAAGCCCTTACATGTATGGCCAGCAATACACCACAATCCAATGACTGGGAATTTATAGAATTTTCTTTAAAGTTTTCTGTTTGTGGGAATATGAACATGTAAATAATTTATATTAGTAAATAAATATTTTGTACAATTTTTGTGGTGGAAGTTATTTTGTGCAGGAATTGTTACCTTCGCTCCCTGAGGAATCCTGGTTATCCAGTTCTGGGGAGGAGCAGCCACTTTCTCCTTTCTTCTGCTGTCCACTTGACTTGTGTTTGAGCTTCGGAACACACACCTGCATGCCAAGCAATGCTACGTGTCATGTATGTAACAGAAACACGTATGCATAATAGTACAAATCAATGCAATTTGGGCTAATTCACAAGAACCAGAAACAATGAGCATTACAATGACAACTCAATTCTTGTTTAATTGCATCAAAAACTGAAAGGTGAAACCTACTTAGCTGTTTAAAATGTGTCATGAATTATGCCCATTGTAAAGACACTGGCAGTAAGAGCTTTGTGTCCTTGATGTATCAGTGTTATTAGCAAAGTCATAACTAGGGATGCAATAACATTTTTTTCGGTATCGAGCACCCAAATTTTTTTTCCCCGCTACATGCCGATACTGAGGATCAGTGCCGTGTGCCCTGATCATCAAGAAGTTGGGCAATGGATCATGACCCGTGGCCCGGTTTCATAATTGCCTGTGAAGCCGGGGTTCAAGCGAAAGGATACCGGCTTCACTTGCTGAGGCTGCCTGGCTTCCTGACCAATTTGGAAGCCGAGGGCGAATCATAGCCCACCGCCCGGCTTCCTGATTGGAAAGAAAGTCGGCTCCATGCTCCCTCGGCACTGCCAGTCAGAGGGAAATCTCCCTCTGACCGGAAGTTCTGGTATCATATGGAACGTCCAAATACTCGGTATCGGTGCATTCCTCGAGTTGACACTTTATTATGAACCATTTACTTTCCTAAATTGTATCCTAAGTCCCCCCCTTTGTCCTATCATTTACACTTTGTAAAATGTTGCTAATAGGCTAGGACACAAAGAGAAAGAGAACAATATAGAAACTTGATAGAACTGTGCTCGAACTGCCTTTGTCAAACTGTTGCAGATTTTCTTACACGAGGACCCTGCCAGTAACAGTGTTTCCTCTTTCAGATATGAGAAAAACTTTAAGCCACTGCATCACAATTAAGCAGCAGCATTGTCAGCCAGCTTCAAATGGCTGTTGGGCTGCCCATCATCAGACAGGCATTCAATGGCCAACTGGAGGAGTGCACACATCAGGCTGACAATGCTGCTGCTAATTGTAAGACTGTGGCTTAGCATTGTCACTTCAAGGAAAAGTGTTGTGACTGGCAGGATCTCGAGGAAATCGTTCAACAAATTCACAAAAAAAGAAAGAAAAGAAAGAAAACTGTATAGAGTGCAGCATGATGCCAAACATACTGATACAAATAGAGGGTGTACATATACTTTAAGGGATACTATGTCTTTATAACATGCTGAGGGGGGCGGAGGAATTTCTTCAATTCTCCCACATGGCCGTTGGTGGCACGGGGACACCATAATCAATACAAAAAAAAAGAAAAGAATGTTTGTGTTTATGAAATTGCACTGGGACTATGTTATACAGTTTGTTTAGATACGAACAGCATTTAATGGACTTCTCTAGGTTTGGCTTCAAAGGTTCACTTATTCAATAGTTCTGAAGATATAAAAAACACTATGGAGGAAAAGTTACAAAATATAGTCACCTTACAACTGGCTTCTGTATACAACACCTAGGTGAGAGTGACGTCCCAATCCTTCTGGCAAGATTCTGGGAATTCTATGGATCCCAAATCTTGCAAGAAGATGGTCCTGCACTGTCCTGGAGCATCTTCCTGTTTGTGTCAAGATTTAAAAAAAGTGTCTTCTGTAAGACTACTAACATAGTTCAACCTAATCAAATGTGTAAGCCCATCAACAGTTTCATAATTGGGGCATTAACGTTTAATCTGCTCTCAATATACAGTACATCTATTTTCTGAGGTTTACTACCATACTGATGAAATCTGGGTTTATTTGGTGGTTGTGGGTTATAAAATGTGTTGTTTGCACTTTGTTCAAACCCCAGGAGTGTCCCAGGAACGATAGGAAAGCTGTGACTAGGTCTTTAACTATTGGTAGACGTCAACACAAGAATTAATAGAAGTGAAATAAACAGAATTGCCAAGAGCAATCATACAACTTAGAATATTAGGAGGCAGTAGTCATAACATATAGCAGATTTGCCTGGAGCATAAGTAGATGTAACGGTAGCGCAACATCTTTGTACAGTCACTAAGGACACTTGCAATAGTACAGATATAAACTATCCCCAGTACTAAAATGTGATAGGCATTTACAACACTTTATGATACATTTTAATCAAAGTAGCAGACACACTTACATGATGAGATTTCTGAGCTTTACAGCTAAGTGTTAGTACGTTTAAGCGGATACCATACACATGCTTCCTTGATCTTGATAGGACACAGACGAGAGAAACGCCACTGGGCTTTCTCCAGACCTACCTGATAATTGCATTTCTCCCGCTTTGCCCCTTGGTTACTGAGACTAATTACACTGCCCGAACGTACCATTGGAGTCCTATGCCTGACTTTAGTCTGGATAGCACCATCGCTTTCAAACTGCACCAGATCATTTAGGGGGTCCCATGGTCGAGAACTGCAACACATAAAACAAATACAGAAATAATGTTTAATATGCTAACTGAACCATAAGTATTTCTCATATTAAATAGGTTACAGTATAATCATTCCACTTGTCCCGCTGGAGTACAAACTCTACACTGGAATTCAAAGAGATAGCATTGCATGTGTAAAGAAGGAGCCGGACCTGATGGTCAAGATTTTCAAGAAGCTGCTGCTCATTGCCCAGCAGGCTGCACAGCAAGAACCTGGTGGAGCAGGATCAGGCAAGAGTGTTCCTACTCTGCATGAAAATAAGAAACTCTTGTAGTTACATAAAGTACTTGATTCTAAAATAAGGCCCAGTTATGTTGTTTTTATGTGTCGAGTGACATGAAGCTTATTCTCTTAGTCAGCTGTACATGCATCATAGGACATACTGTATATTACCCTTTATAAGTTGGTTAAATGTATCTCCTGAAATATTGCTTAACTGCCTTAAATGTAAAAATCCTCCTGGTACTTTTATTGTGCCCCCCACATACATAGATTTCGGAAACAGTGTGTTCAGTCTGATGGGGGCTCCAGTACCTTTGTAAACCACGAGCACTAGTTGTTGGCAAATTTACATTTACTAGATTGGCTTTAGGGTTCAGTTTAACTCTAAGCTAATGTCTTCAAATTCAACTAAACAGCTGAGAACAGACCATGCAGAAACTGTCATGTTCTACATTAGCAAGTGCTACAGAAGATTCTAGCTGGCAGGATTGCCTTGTGAAATCAATGAGTCAATCAATACGCCAGCTGCCTTCTTTAGCCAATGTCAAATGATTGGAAAGCACTTGGCTAAGGGTGAGGACAGATATATACACAAATGCTGGTCCCATTGCTTACAGGAGTGGTTTTTATGTTTTTAGTTTTTAAACTAAAAATAAATGAACAATTCCTTATATTTAAGAATCACGTTTCCAATTACTATGAGAAAGTAGCCAAACTCACTCAGCATATTTGTAATGCCACTCTCCACAGATTGGATCTTGTTCAAAGAGATGGCAAGTCCACTCTTCACTTTTGGCTTTTCTTTCTTTGGCAGCTTTCCTCTGAGCTTCTTCTAAGACAAACTTCTCCTGAGTGGCTTCGGTCTGATCCTTGTTAGTGATTGCCTTTGTAACATTCTGCCAGAGCCTGGAATTTGAGAATTACATTGGTTATTTGCCAGCAAGCTATTGATACATTTTTAAAGCCTGGAGAATGAATACAATTTCTTAAAGTTGCCCACTAAGCAGAATTTAAATGGGAATGCGAAAAAGACAGACTTTTTTTGGGTACTTGATTCCACCAAGATTACTGATAAGTAGTTATTTTTTCCTTCTACAACTTTCATACCTTCAAAACAAGGTTGCGTTTGGTTTAATCATTAGAAATTACATTTCTATCATATAAACTGTCCTTTAAGAATTTAATTCCAAACTTGCCATCCTGCTATAAGAGTTTAAGCACTTAAAATGGCTGTCCTCAAAATCTGTATTCTTCTGATAATCTCTACGAATCTTTGTGGATAGGAAAAGTTTATACAGTGTAAACTTTTATAAAGGCCAAATACAGCAAAAACTATTTTTGATAGCTTCAGACAGAATAAGGAAGGGTAAAAACCTCTGTGGACTAGTCATTGATGTACGAATCAATTTTTAGATTTACCCTCATTTCCAGTCTGTTTAATGGGTGTCAGAAAAATTAGGAAGAAAGGGGAAATTTCCCCAAAAGGGACTGGCTGGCCTGGCTGCACTAGTGCCCTGATACCTCAATAATGTGCCAAAAAGGGAAGTGAATGATTCTTAGTTATCCCTATAATCACATATCAATCCTTTGTGAGGGTTTCAATATGCTGTTACAGAAACTACATTGACTATAGTTATCTGTGAGTTACTATACATCACCCCATACTGTCACAGGGATATTGATCATGATCTTGCAGTCAGTTGTTGTAACATATGAAGCGGTGTACTGCATCTTTCACTATAACTTTACAGTGGGCAGCACGGTGGTTGTCAGTTAGACCTGTGTCCTTTGGATGCTGGGTTCAGATTTCAGGCATTACCTGCATGGAGTTAAGGCATTCTCCCTATGTTTGTATGTCATTCCCAAATACAGAGGTAGGCGCATTGTTCCCTAGGGTGTGGAAGTATGTGCATGTATGAGTGATATGGATGACAACCTATCCCCATAGATTAACAGGAACAGTTCTTTGTACTCACCAGTGTAATATACTACACAAATACAAAAACTAAAAAAAAGGCTTTAATATGGTATGCTTAGGTGTACAGTATTAACAGATAATTAAAGGAAAGCAAATAATATACATTTTAAAAAAGAACATTTCATAAAAGGCAAAAAGCAACATTAGAATTTCGCAGAATGATCTCTGCCCTAGTCAAGAACAGTGAAGATCAAGCAGAGACAATTACCTTTCAGATTCAAACTCTCCTTGCTCATCGTGGAGAACTGTGCAACGTGTTAATCTGCCCTGCCTTATCTCAGCTGTTGGGTTCCAAAAAGTATCAGATAGGTCTGTCTTCTTGTCGTTTATAAACACTTCACTATCCTGAAAAGAAGCACGCAACCATTAAATCATATTATACAGACCTCAGATAGCACAATCTTTAGGTTAAAGCAGCCCTCCAAACCTCTTGAGCACAACTCATGGAAGTTTTATTACCAAGTTTCCAAATATATTAAAAAGCTATTATTTACTGAAAAAAATTGCCTGTGCTGTCGTGTCAGACCCAATTAACGATTAACTGGAAGGATATAGGAAACAAGATTTTATATCCTGCATAACCTTATTTTATAAAAAAAACACAACTTTTAGCCATGAATATAAAAAAAAAAAAATTAAAGATGTTACCAATAAAGTAAACCTCCCATTACTAAAAAATATAACATAAAATATAACATCAAATAAAAGAGGCATCCTTACAAAAATATATTTCCTAAATCTACACTAATACAATGGTATTTTTTAGCCTTTGTATTAGCTGCAGTTACTTTACTAGTCAACACCAAGTCAAGGCAATACCAATCACTGCACCAGCCCTCAACTGCCTAAATTGATTAGTGCGCCTAACAACAAATTATTTATCATATCAGGTTGGTGTGTTGAAAGGTTTGACCCTGGGTCGCACTGTATTTTTTCATGCGAGACAAATTGGTTAGTACAAAATAAAATAAAAATATCTTCAAGCAATGAGAAAAACACTGTGCTTTGTATTTGGTGCATTTAGGCATAATTTATCAGATTAACTCTGCTTTGCTTTTATTGCCACTTACCCAGTTCCCCTCCAGTGTTGCCAAGACTTCCTTCCCCAACTTTATCTTCCCTGATATCTGATTTACACTATCATCACTACCAAGAAAGGGCTGCAAGGCAAAATTACAAGTCACAAAGACAGCAAACAATGAATAAATGCAAGCATTGGTGCCATAAAAAAGAAACATTTATTTACTAAATGAAATTGTTACTTCCTTTAGTATTACGTTTGCATAGAGTGTAATTTGTTTTTCTTTGAAAATAGCTTGACCTTAATCAAACGGCTGGCTCATGCATTTGAAGATTTAAACTAGCTATTCAGTAGCAGATAATCTGTTCCTTTGTTCACGAGACTGAAAGCTGCATCATACTCATAGGGCTATCCACCTCATGTTCAGGTGCTGATAATGTGTGGGGCACACGATGCATTGCCATTTTTCACTACATCAAACTTCTGTCCCACCGACTCCCTTAAAAAAAAACTACCTGCACATAATACACTACTCTTGAAATTTAGCACATTTAGAGTCCCCTTGACAAACATGAATTTCTCTCAAATGACCTCCTAGAATGCATAAGAAAGGTGGTGAGGTGCTAAAGAGATCTGGTTGAAAGGACAATTTTGGAACTCTTCCCCAAATGGTCTAAGTCAGGGGTATCAAACTCAATTTAGTCGGGGGCCACTGGAAACATTTTAGTCACGTGGGGACCGCTACTATATACGGTACTTAATGTTGGGGGGTTTTACGTCATTTTCAGGCCTAAAATGTGGAATATAACATGGGTGCAAAAATGGAAAAAAGGGCCTCAGTCATGAAGGGGTTAATGTATGCATATGTTAAAGCGGCAACTGCCGCCCATTCAAATTAATGATCGGGTGACAGCTGCTGCATGTACACGCCTGCACACTGCATGTAATCAATGTAATCATATGTGAAAGAATTACATGCAGTTAGGAATCTTTCACTATCAGTGGTTACACAATTGTTTATCCAGGGATAGTGATTGTTTTTGTAACTGCATGTAATCATATCACATACAATTACATGCGGTGTGCAGGCGTGTACATGCAGCGGCTTTCACCCGATCATTAACTTGAATGAGTGACAGTTGCTGCATGTAAACGCCAGATCAGGGATTCCTGCTGCAGGAAAAAGCAAGTTTGTGACACAGGAATCCCTAATCGCACCTGAAATATAGGTGTGAATGGGGTCTAATATACACACAGAAAAATACAATCTCCCCAGCAGACATAAACTTCCTCCCTCCCTCCTTTCCTTCCAAGCCCCCTCACCTGCTTTCATCCGTCCAGGGAGGAGGCACATCATCATGCCCTGATGATCTAGCGGTGATCACTAGTAAGGTCTGCACTAGACCTTACTAATGATCCATCCTTCGGCCGGAGCTCAGAACTGACAGAGCTCTGGCCGGAGCAGCTCTGCATCCGTCGGAGATGCAGACTGTGTAGCTGCTCCCGCAAGTCGGGCACGCGGCCCGTGACCGTGTCCCCCACTTGTCAGCTGGCTGCGGGCCACTTAGTACCGGCTCGCGGGCCGGTACTTTGAGACCGCTGGCCTAAGAAGTCATACTGTATAAAAACTTACAATGAAGAAATCTTGAGAAAAAAGGCTTATACAAGTGAAACTGAATAACTAGCATTATCTGTTTTAATACATGTCTTATTAAAAGAGTAGGAGTTTTTTTAAACTGTTCACGAAACATTATATATTTTGTCTTTCATTTGTGTGACCTTTTCTCTTAATAGATTTTAAGAAATCCCTGAGGCATTTCTGACAACAAGGACTTGGGTCACCCTGACATGATCAGGTGGCACTTGAGCAGCAGAGATGAAAATGTCTGAAAGAAGGTCTGTGTTGTGCACAGCAGCATCTTCCCCGGAAGACTGCAATAGAGAATCAGATTTGTGTTTCAAACACTTTAAATGATGAGCTCCCAATCTTGGTATCCTGTTTCCACCTGGTAGTGCTCCAGATCTCATCAGAGTACAACATATAGTGATTCGGGACATTCATCATAGACCGTTTTCCACAATCGATATAGCAGAATCATCCACTCGAAGCAAGATGCTAGGGACCAGAAAGCAATTGTTTCTCAATATCAACCAGACATTATATTTCTAGAAAGGAGCGATAACTCTCAGGGCCTGTTCACACGACATCCGTTTTCTGTGCTGACCTGATCCGTACGCTCCTGCACTAAAAATGCATCCCAATGTATCCCTATGTGTTTTATGGGCTACAGTTCTCACGTGTGCAGTCCGTTCAGGTTACGACAGAAAAATACTGCATGTCACATTATGTACGGCCAGGAAACAGTCCAGAAACCCAAAACGCGTCAAAAACGCACTGCAATGCAGCTAACATACTGACAGCCCCACTCCAGCAAAAAAAAAACTGGAACGTCAAAAACGCGGCCAAAACGCACTGCCTCAGTAGCACCGCGTCTGCAGATCCGCACCTGATATCATGTGAACAGGCCCTTAAGGCTTGTTCACACCAATTGTGGTGCGTTCTAGAGCGGTACCTGCTGGAACCCACATCGATCGAACACTAAACTTCCCCCTTCGTTCTAAGGCGGGGGGGATGGTGCATTAGAGTCAATGGAACTGCAGCCACGGCCCCCCGCCTGCAGTGCGACCAGATGCTTTACAAAACATTGCCTGCTGCATGCTCTATTTATTGCGTTCGCAGTGGAACGGAACACAGCCAATGTTTTGTAAAGCATCTGGTCGCACTGCAGACGGGGGCGTGGCTGCGGAGCCATCAACTTCAATGCACCGCCCCCCCCCCCCCCCCCCC